CATGATTGCTGTTCTCATGGATGTTGACGTGAAATACAATTTGTACACATTTGAAACTTGTTGTTGTAGATTTATAAGACCGCACAAAGTGGTTGGGGCGTTCGAGCACTATGTGACATCCCAGCGGGCGCATTCATTGCCAACTATGTGGGAGCACTGTTGACAGACAGTATAGCTGATGCTCTCCATGGAGAGGACGAGTACTTCGCCGATTTGGACCTCAACGATGCTGTGAGTTCTTAGGTTGAGTTTTTAGAGGGTTCATTGGAAATGCTATAAAAAGCATTTCTTGATGCAGAGTACATACGAGAGGGTGTGGGTGTGTACTTATAGTGTAAAGATCGGTTAAGGTGGAAAACGAGAAGGCGACAACTCTCGAGAAATGCGGATATCTGGATATGGGACTGGGTAGTTCGGATGAGGAAGAGGAACAGGTGCAGTCAAAGAAAGACGCGGAAGACGATGGAATAGGGTAGGGTATCGTTAGAATTCTTTGCTTTGCTAACCTCATGATCGCGGATTTTAGATTTTTTGAACACAGAATTAGCAGCTTTGAAATATTATTTTTTAAACTCGCATTACTGCTTTAGTGAGAGCGAGCGCAATTTTTTATTTACACCGTAACTATCCGATAAATGTCATTCCTAAAAAGACTATCTTAGTGTTAGAACTTTTGCACTCAAACTTTGTTTTTATTTTTGAATGGAGGTTTGGTGACATGGGGCATATGAAAGCGGTTGATTGAAGCTTTTCCCTCAAATTTTTCGTTTACTTCCTCTAGAATTATGAAAAACAATATAAACCGTGAATCTTCCAGTTCTGATGCCTCATCTTCGTCTTCAAGCGAGGAGGAGCAGCCGAAATCAAAGCGTAGTAAACGTAAACGTAGGGAGGAGGAAGAAATGAATCGGCGAAGGAAGAAATTGAATGCAGCCGAGTTGGAGAAAAGTGGGTGTTCAAATAACTTGGTAGGGAAAACCGACCATCAGGTGCGCTGCACTACAAACTTGCGAGACCGCCTGCCTGTCAAGACTTTTTTGCTCCCGTTGTCTCTTAGGCTCCATAAGCGGTGCTAGCGCAGTTGGAGGGGGCCACTCGCGCTCTGTTCGTCTGCTCCTTCAAGGCTTAGTTCATGAAGCCATTACTATTTCGCCCCAGGTGGCAAAATAGCGGCAATGCATCTAAGCCTTGGAAGAACAGACGAACAGGGCGCCGCGCCGTCACTTTGCCCCCTCCAGCTACACAAGCACCCTATACGCTCCCAAACTAGCGGGATAGTTGATACTCTACTTATCTAGGAGAATAAACATTTCAACATTGACTGGTTTCCAAGTCCTATTAAGCCATTTTCCATATATGGCACTCGAATACATGCCGCATCTGAAAGGATTGTATCAACTTGAAGCTTTTGAACACTTTCCTGGCAGATACTCTATGTTTGTCCTATGGATGATACCAAAACACAAGATGAGCGGCGTGTTGCAGAAAATAATCAAGTAGTGGTTTGTTAAAATTGGTGTTCTGGTTTCCGACCGTTTGCACGTCCGAAAAAAATCTCCCACGCATCGTCCCTAATGAATAAAAAATGCAAAAACACGCACTATCGTTGAGGTGTCAAATTCCATCTCAGTGTGTCGTTTTTTTTGTACGGGCTCGCAGCACGGAATAAATCTGCTAACCCAGTGTAACTTTTTTGAAAGATATTCGGAAATTTATCCTAGACGGCTAGATTCGTACGATGGTTCTGGACAGGAGCTTGTCAGAATGGGAACCTTTTTTTTCGTCTGTCCCCAAAGTGTCACATGGCATGCATATTGAAGAAAAAAGCAGTTGTCCTTTTGTATTGGCTCAAAAAGAAATAAGCTCAGGGGCTCTCAGACCCTGTCTTGCATTGTGAGGGAGAATTTTTTTCGAACACTAATCCGTTGGGGATGTTGCAGTTGATGCTGCGCGGCTGTGGGTGATGACACAATGTTCAAATGGGCGGACTATTTTGGCGAGAACAATACACTCTTCGTGGTAGACGCAAAGAAGAAGGGAAACGTAGGAAGAGGAGCGATACCACTGGTTATTCATTTGTTCGTTCTTCCATTGGCAGCATCGCCATCACATGAGGGCGCTAGAATTCTATGTATTTGCCTGCTGTCAATATCTTTAGATTTGCGAAGTGTTGATAAAAATTTCATTCTTTTCGAGATTTTCTCGGAGAATCGTCAAGAAGATCTCATAGTAGGAAGGTGGAAGGTACGTGCTTATGTAAACTCGCAATTATATGGGATAAGCAACAATGACTGCCGTTGTTTGGAGATTATTGAGCCTTGTTTTTTTTTGCAACACGTGCCGAGGCATCCCATAATCGTGCAACACTTAGGACTATCTTAAAGGTATGCGCGGGTAATATCAGCGCTTTTTTAAGGGAAAAATTCCTTTGGTTAATAATCCGTTCTGGATGTCTGTTTGCGGTGTGCAGCAAGACCTTCCACAGTGCTCAGGAAGCGAGGGCCAATCTCGCGTATTATTATCGACGACGCGTAGAGACGCAGTCAGAAAACTAGGCTCCTATCTCGGCCATTCCACATATCCAATTGCGTACTTCGGACTGCCGCGCTGAGGATGCGTGTGTGCACATCATTGCCGTTTGTGTCCCACAGGAGTAGCTTATGTTGTTAGTGAGCGAACGGTAACTGGGTCACGCATATCAGAACATCCAGGCGAACGTCACCGCTGGCTGTCATCGGAGAATCATCTTAAGAACAGCTAAGAAGTGACCAATGCGAGAGAAAAGTTTTTGCTCTGTTGTTGGTGGGATTCTCAAGGAACGCCCCTATTCGAATTGCTTGCTGCCGGTTCACCATGACCACCCAGGTGTACGCTTCTCAGTACAGAAGTGGGGACGGTATACCGTCGAACCCTGAACGCGACGAAAGTTTATCTTCCGCGCTAGGTCGCATGTTTTGAAGCTGTCCTGTCAAAATTATCGAACCCAGGGGCGGTATTCAATCCTTCCGCCAGGTGTTGGGGGGGGGTTGGGGGACGGAAATCCCTTTAAATTTTATTTGTTTTTAACGATGTAGTTTCTTCATTTTCAATGCATGCTTACTGTGACATAATACATACATTAAACCTAGCCCCTTTATCAGGACAATCCCAGTTGGGAAGACGGAGAAAATTTAAAGGGTTTTTCGTCCCCCAACCCCTAGGGGAAGGATTGAATACCGCCCCAGATGATGGCCTGCTGCCCTCTCCTCAACTTATGCCTAGTCTAGCCCCTCCCCATTACGTAATCTGTGCTTAAAGGCACAACCCAGGCAGAGGTCGTGTGAACTCTTCTCTTCGGTCAGAAGTATAGAACCCTAGGGGACAATCACAAATGTGGCGTTCACGTGCACGGAATTCGACCGACAAGAACGCTTTGGGCTTGCAAAGTAAGCTGCTCGAGCTGCAGCGAACGAGCTCTCTCTTATCAGGCCGTTGTCTGGTGCTCTCTCATCTGATGCGCTCTCTCGCCCCATACTCTCCTCTTCGCGCTTAGTCTCTCGTTCCTTTAGCACAGCCAATTAGGAAGGTGAGTGAGCCCTCAACCTGAGCGTTTTCGACGGATTCTTTTCCTTTTTTCTTCACTGCCGGCCCACTTGGCACCGATACATTCACATTCGTGTGCAAGAGCCACACCAGTGCGATCCTGGGGCATGCCTTTAAACAAAATTCCATGATCTCCCGAAGTTCAAAACGAGATTTTCAACCTCCCTGACTCGTAGCCACCGCAGTTCCAGGCCTTCAGAACTGAAAATCGTTGGGCACATTTTACGGACCATAATGCTGAACAAATCATAGACCGGGATCGTATTGTAGCAAAAATATAGGTCTTTAAAATGAAGGTGGAATTTCGATCAAGACTTTTCCCTCAACCTAATAATTTACTTCATGAACAAGGTCGAAGCAAGCTCCAAGGAGTTATTTCAAGAAAAAGTCTTTCGTTCAGGTTCCTGAATCATTCGTGCGATCCAAATGTTCAAGTGCAGCATGTGTTTGTTGACACTCACGATCTACGATTACCATGGTCCTCATTTTTTGCCATTCGAAATATCAAAGCAGGAGAGGTGAGCATTGAACACTTTGAATTTGGTGATTTTTATCGGAATAATCAACGAAAAAATTGGTAGCGCTTTAGAGCGAATTCTACAATCATATTTTCGTTGTTATTTTCACATACTACGATATGGAGCGAAAGGGGGTACCACTAAAAAGGGGTCGGACGAGTCTACGACGAAGGGAAGCCGGTCACAGAAGCGCGTAAACCACAAATAGCGTGTCTACACACGAGGAGCAGACATCGTGCCATGTAGTGGACACCATGGTGCACGCGAGCGACAGAATCACCCCTGTCAGCTCAAGTAACAAGACCCTTTTGAGACAAGCATTCTTGTTTGCAATTTTGAACCACGCCTAATCCGCCCCACCGCTTCGATTTTTTTC